GTGATATATGCTTTTATTTATTTCTATTAAGTTCTAAATTAGATAGACGTGATTTACTCCACTGTTGACGCTAGTTAGACACTATTAGTTTTTGTTACTAGTTCTTCTTTCTATTCCATGCCGTGGGGTCATGGACCTGGTTATGAGTTTAGTTTCGTGGCATAAATTTCTACAGATCTACCTATCCTGGTTCCACGCGTGTAAGTGTTTGCTACAATTTGTTATGAATATTTTTCTTATTAGCTCTCATGGACTTAGCCTGGTCTCAGGTTTCTATAATCTTCATGTTTTGTGACATCAGCTTGTCCAGTGATTGAAGCTAGCTCTTTCTAACGGACCCAACTGAATAGGTGTTTTCCTTCACCTGAGGATGGAAACAGATCCAGTTTCCGAAACCTCCTGTTTTTATTTGTTATCTTAAAAACCAGGACGATGGATAAAGTCCAAAAACCCAACATATCAGTGTGTTATACACCATCGTCAGAATCCGATAGTAACTAGGAGGGACAGAGATAAAAATACCAGAGAGATAAAAGAACGGAAGAAAGAAATCATTTTGTGCATCATCTCTGATGAGTAATGCAGTAATATAACAAGGAAACAATTCTAACTGCAATCATGATAATTTTAGACAACCTGAAGCTCAGGATTAGTGCAGGCCTGATCACAGGAAAATATGATGATAAAGTGCATTCAACTGTCTCGAGGTTAATTTCAACGATGGCCTTTTGTGGACACTGCAAAGAACCTTCAGGTTTCCTCAAAACATGAAATTTCTAGTATGTCTCAACTTTTCAAAGACACCATACTATAAACTTTATCAGTAACACCAACTGAGATGAACAGTTATGAATTTAATATTGTATGGTGGTAATGAGCATTCTTCTGCCAATAACTCAATTGGGGCATAAAATAAAAGTCAAGTAGGAAAATGACTATCTATCTATAGCTCTCAGTCCTCTGTTGGACCTTGGTCACATTTTCAGTTTAATTCTATACACAGTTGGTAGCACTCCTCTGACAGGGGATCAGCCCATCACAAGGCCACTACCTACACGCAGAACAACACACAAACAGAATAAACGCACAAAGACATCCATGCCTTGAGTGGGATTCGAATCCATGATCCCAGCATACGATCAAGCAAAGAGAGTTCATGCCTTAGACCGTGCAGCCACTGTGATTGGCAGTAAAATGATTGGGGGAAATAATTTTATTTTTTGTGGAGTTATGTCCAAGAAAGAACCCAGAGTCACGTCTGACATCCTTTGTTCATCTATGGATTAAGCATACTAATGCGATATCCATGTACTGATATTAACAAATATGCCTTGGCACAAAATAACTAAAGAAGTGCTGAAATTACAGCATACTTGTGCAAAAAATGAAAGAAAGACTAGAAGACTCAGAATTTACTCACTTTCAGTATTAATGAACAGATCTGAATATAATATTCTATTGGTGGAGTTGCATGTAGTCAAAACATGTCATTCTGATTCACATTGGTCCAATATACCTCCTATTTTACATGAAGCTCAAATCAATTCTACAACTTTATAAAAAAAAAATATTTTATATATATATAACAACAATGGCATAAAATATGAATACACTTAAGACCTACAATTGCATTTGAAACATTTTCCAGTATTTTGAGTATTTGCTGAAATGTAAGAAAAATAATTTTTGACTATGCAGTGTGATATTCATTGAGGAATTATCTACTCAACAGAATTTTTTATTTACAATTGAACATCAAGGAAAATGGGGTATGCATACTCTATTACATTACAACTTTCCAATTCTGTTTCCAACCAGGAATCCCTGTTATGAAACACACAAAGTTCTGAAAACTCACCCTGAAGTCCTCCTGTTTGGACTGCGCTTCCTTCATTTCTGGAGGCATTTTGTTACAGTACATTGCCTTGTGACCAGTCTCCCCACAGTAGTGACATGTGATAATCAACTTCTTTCCATCTTTCTGCTGAACATCTGTCGCTGGTAGCTCAAACCTTGGACTGGAAATATTGGTGGATTTGTAAATACTTGTTAAAATGTAACCTTCTACACATTTTCACATTGCATAATGCAGTGCAATGATAACAGAACTTTTTATTCGTTGGTTTCAAATCTATATATTGGGTGTCTAGATGAAAGGTATCCAGAATAAAAAAATATATCTTGGAAAGTAATTGTCATACACATATCTGGTTTATGCCAGATATGTGCTTTTACACAGTCTGCTTTTACTGGTTCTCACGGTCCCTGCGCTTTGCAGATTTCTTATATTTTTCTCTTCTACCCTGAAAATGGAGGCGATACGTTCCTCCGAAACGTCGGTTAACACCACATATACACGGTGTCAAACCCCAGAAGACTGCTTTCTTCATAGTCACCGCCGTGAAAGCCTCAAATCTTACAAATTTTAGACTTCTCAACTGTCTGCTTGCACAGAGATGTCTTGAGAACAATACATATGGCATTTATTTTGTTCCCAGCACAGCTTCTTAAATCTATGTATAATGTATTCCACCAATGAAAATAAAAAGCAGACTGAAGTAATTCCATACATTCTTGTAAATATCTTCTATGGGCAACATTACTTTTTGAAATTTCAGATAGGATAGCAGTACAAAATAATATCTTGCACAAAAACTATGGCTTCACGGAAAACTAAATCATCAGATGGATTCGTATGTCAGTAAAGTTAATGCCTGCATTCCCTGTGACAACTGAAATCCCACTCAGTGGAAATCCTTAATGTAGTACAGTAAAAGTTTCCTGTCCCTTTTAACACATAAAAATGCAAATATTTCAATGACAATACAAAAACTGGTCTATTAGCATGAGAAGGATGGAGCATAAATGAAAACAGCAAAAAGCTAACATGACAAATTGACTTTTCTATAACAGCATATTTAAAGTACACTTATCAATTTAAAGCTTGCCTACATTTCTAAAGACTTACTGCATAAATTTGCATTCTGGTCCCTCTATACAAAGTCCAGCAACATAATTCATACACAAAACACGCCTCACATGGCGATGACGACAATTTGGCCCATGCCGACAGAAACCTCTGTCATACCAGGGGCAATCCTTTATCTTACTTTCTGGGTCAATATGAAGGAAAGGACATTCCTTATTGTGACACGCATCTGTTACAGATTGGAAAACCAGAGTTAACAGCATTTATAGGCATCAATGAAGATGGTATATTATTCTTATTTTCACTAGATTATGACTTATGGACTAATATTTTGGGGAAATTATCATTATATAGCAACATAATTTTTAGACTACAAAGAAAGCCATTAGAATTATTATGGGAATTAGGGATAGAGACTCACTCAGAAAATATTTTAGAGAACTAAAAATACTTCCACCAAAATCTCAGTAAATATATTCACTTTCACTGTTTGTGATTGTTAAGAGTCACAATTTTAAAGTAAATTCTCAGGTACACAATATTAATGCTAGGACCAAATCCGATTTGCATCATCCATCGTCGTATCTGTCAGTTTTTCAGAAGGGAACTTATTATGCTGGGATTAAGGTGTTTAACAGCTTACCTGTTCCAATAAAAGATCTGTCTGATAATAAAAAAACAATTTAAACTGGCCTTGAAAATTTTCTTCTGTTCCCATTCATATTATACATTGGACAAGTATTTTAAATACAAGATGAACTAAACTTTTTATAATGCTGTTTATATGGTATATTGTATAAAAGACTTTCAATTGATATGTGTATAATTTCTAAGAAACGAGCTTAACAAGGTATTAATGTCTATGAAGAAAGCAGTCTTTTGGGATTTGGCACCGTGTATAAGTGGTGTTAACACCACTTATACACGGTGCCAAATCCCAAAAGACTGCTTTCTTCATAGTCACCGCCGTGAAAGCCTCAAATCTTACATATTAATGTCTAGCTGATGAATTGTACATGTTGGTTAAATTACTGAATTGTATAATTATGGTTCCCTTTATGAATATAGTTGTAAGAGGACTAGTTTCTGTTCTCAGAACTAATGTATGTAAATGTGCCATCATAGTCATAGTGATGCATGTAAATGCATCACTATGACTCAATGAAAGCATGTACTTAATTCTGTTGTCTTCATGCCATTACAAATTTGGGATGGCAGGACCATATTCACTTACTGAATCGGGAGTAGAAGTAACACTCTGGCATTTTGCTCATGTCATATTCATGCAGAAATTCACACTGATCACCCTTTTTGCACAAGCCACGAAGCCAGTGCTTACAGACAATTGTTCTGTCACCACGGACATGACGAAAAGGGCAAGCTGCTCCTTTCTGACAGCTACCTTTTGGATAAAATTCACATACTGCTGCTATCGATTCTGAAATAAATTACAAAATGCAACAACAGAAACATCAGAATAAAATCATGACAAATTGCTGTTCTCACTTGATATGAATAAATGGTTCACAACTCAAAAAAACGAAAGAAGCTTATATTTGAGAATACGGATTAGTGAAGTACGTGAAGACAATTGTACTTTAGTTCTAATATTTGTTTACAACACAGTATTATTATTAAGGTATTTTCTAAGAAAATAAAAAATACAGTAACAGATTGTACTTCTTAAATGCTTTAATTATATTATATTTGCTATAATACGCTAAAGTTGTTTCCAAGAAATTCAGCTGATAGCATACATACATTAAGATATGTGGAAATGATGAAAATTACGGTATGGAGGGAATCACACAATCAAAAAGGCTTCGTGGCACGGAGGCAAAATTACGAACATTCTCCGACCTTGGCATTGGAATGGGATGGCACAACCCACTTAATACGGTGGAGCGCCAAAAGGGGGATGGGTGGGGGTGGGGTTCCAGTCGTGCTGAAAAAAAGAACGGCGTAGGGCAGGTTAGTTTCCTTAAACATACAGTGGCAACGGCAAACTTCCTTTAAATACATAAACTGACGCCGAAAAAGTTCCTCCACATAAATTCTATAACACTCGATGAAGCACTCCACTTGCATGGTATGTAAATATATCATCACATTAATATTACGTTAACCAGGTACTTACTATCCATTCCGGCAAAAGGTAATGGTAAGGCTCCATATTGTTCTTCTAATGCCACCTCTATATCAAATTTCATATTATCAACATTAGCCACAATAAATTCCATTTTAAATACAGGCAAGTGATTTACACAATGTATATATTACAATACAAAACTTCGCTTCACCTTCTTATACAAATCCCACCATTTCTACAACGATCATTCCTGCCGGCCAGCCATGCCCAGTGCCACCAACATGATCAACATGATAATTAAAATGTATTTCACATTTTAGCCGAGAGATGGCATATCCATGCATTCGAGCTCGAACTCGAATGCATGGATATGCCATCTCTCGGCTAAGAATGTGCTACAGAAGGCCGGATGAGCATTGCCTAGGCCTTTTTTGTATTTCCAATAATTTCTGCAATAAAAAGAAAGGACTCAACTAGCGGGGCATGGGACTTAGTGTGATGGTTATCCCCACATCGGCGCGGTTTTCCTTAACCACTCCAAGCAAATTGAATTAAGATGCAACCATTTCCAGACTGCAGTTTATCGTCCTACCATCCCCTTCTCTACAATCTGGCCTACTGGCAGCATCATTACACATACTATACAACAGACAGTTGTTCCAGTACTTCTAACCACAGCTGCTAATACATCTGTACAACCTAAATTACTGAAAAGCTTCCGAAAATGATGCACTATAAAGTTATGTAGCATTACCTAGACTTACACAATATTAAAGTTACAACTTCATCTGGAATTGACAATTCTGTGCTAGGGCACTCCATCGCAGAAAACCTTCATACCTCTTCTACGAAATATAACAGTGGACCCATACACGAAAAACTTTTGCACAAATTCAAGGCTGGATTATGTGCACTGACAGAAATAAATGTCATCTACTTAGCCCTTTCTAACACAGCTATTTCCTGAGCCTTACATCTTAACTATCGCTCCCAACAACATAGGAATTACATCCAGAGCATATATTATATTAATTTCTGTGTTGGTCATTCCCCCAAGTGTCTACCAAGTCCTGAGGTGCAATTCCCACTCCTGAACACATCATGTATCCTGTGGTTGTTTTAAGGCAGCTGTCAAAATAACATTATATATAGAATTGCCTTCAGGAGGTCATTCAAGAAGAGCTTGTTGTCAGTTAAATAAACATTATTTTACGCATGATACATGAGTCACAGATTTATAACTCTACCCAAAAACATTCAGATTCAAGAACCTGAGTATCTGAACACGAGGTCTGGTTCATTGCACATTACTTAACATGTGAATGTATAACACAATTAAAATGGTTTCTATAATGCTTTTGAGAACATCAAAGTCATGGAATTTTGTCACTACACATCAGAGAGCCTGTATTGTGGTATATTTGTTCAAGTTTTGTGGAGCCAGAGAACCAACTGTTGCTAGTGACCAGCTCTGAAACATTTGTTTCTAGGCAGCAGATTCTTGATAGACAGTGAATTAACATGCAACAACATATGTACTGTTGGGATCTGTGTTCTCTGTGGTCCGTGCTGTGACTGCTGCTACACAACAGCATGGTAAACACACCTCTGCAGCAATAGCCGAACCACAACAGAAGAGCTGTTTTTTTCTACGTGGTCCATGCAGCACTCTGAGGCAGGACAGAGGAACAGCAGCAGCCTCAGACACATCAGGTGGCAGTGGCAGGTCCCTGAGGCCTTACCCCAACACAGACAGCAGACAACAGGTCAGTCAGTTTGGACCTCTAAAGCAAACACTTTGCCTCTAGACAAAATGTTGAATGTAGCAGTAACAGTAGGACAGCAGATTGTGATAGAGGAGGCTCAAATAGTGGCCATTACAAAAACTGTCTTAAATCTCATGAAGCAAATTGGCTGCTTGAGTTCACAGCATGATCTGCTGTACTGAGCCTGGACTGACAGGGGCCTTGTATATATTGTATATGCATTTCATAGCATGTAAAATGTAAATTATACATACTGACAACATACTTATTACTGCTGCCTGTGACTCTGGCAAACAACAGACCCGTCCTCTTGTTAGAGAGAACGCCCAACATCAATAAGCCTGAAATTGTCATACAGTAATAAAGATTAGGTCTTAAGCCTTTATTCTTGCTTTATTCCAAGGTAGACTTGCCGACTGACAGTTGGTCGTAACATAACTTTGACTTTGTCTTTGAGCTTAGCTCAGTTTTGGAATGTGTGCCAGACATTAAGGACTAAGTGGAAAGTGTTAAAATCCATTACGAGGAAACACATAGTGAAGACTAGACCTTATGTGTGTCATAGTTACAGTGAGATTTGGAGTGTGTAATTCAGTAAGACCATTATAATTACTTGCAGATACAACAAGTAGGTGGTCAGTAAGTTCAATTACCAATCTAAACCCCATCTAGAGTCACTCATACATATGACGGTACCAAATGTGTACATCTTCATGCTGATTTATTTAACTGAGTTACAAAGAAGGTACCATGTATTCAAAAAGTATTAAAACTTTCAAAGTATACTATGGGCATAGTACATGGTATAAGAATTACTACATCAGTGATATTTAATCATTTTGAGGTTAAACTATTTATTTTGAACTAGACTTGAGCACAGGTGGAATGTCTGCTTCCAATAACTGTATTACAGAAAATTTGAATTGGGCACTGTTACCCACCTGAACAATCAAACTATAAGTGAGGCTTACAACTGCTATAGATCAATTTTTGAAAAAATCTGAATGTAAGGTGCATTTTACACTTTCACAAAATATTAATATGATCATATTAGATACTACAAATTTATGTCAACAACTGTTAGCCAGTAAACTTTTACCTGTTCATTTCACTGACAATGTTTTCTGTCAGACAGCTGCAGGATAAGAAGGTACAGTTTAGCTATCAAAATCTGGCTCATGAGTTTTGAGGTCCTCATGGTAGTGACAATCAAGTTTACTGCCTTTTGGGATATGATGCCATATAGCCTGCATATTTACCAGTGTTCTGAAGGAATCTACTGCCTCAACCAATAAGGTAGAAGAGTACCCCACACATGGAGGTAGCAAGTTCCTCTGAAATTCTTACAAGTATCTCCCCCCAAACTACACAGCCTCACATCTCAGATGCCAACAATTATCAAATATTATTCTTTATCACTGATCAAATGTAAATGAATCTTCATCATCAGGATCTACACACCAGCCAGTTGACCATGTAGGGCTATCTGCATAACTGGTTCACCAGCAGGGAAGGATATATCTCCAGGGTGCTGGGTAAGTTAATTAACACAGGGCCAGGCAGCAAAAGTCCAGTACCCCAAAATGGAAACTCCAATGAGCCAAATAAGGTATTATGCATTAATTAATGAGTTCCATGGCACAAGATACTTCTGGAAAAATTAACTGCTGCCCAGCTGTCATGCTTACCACATCTCACAGAATCCTTCAGGTTTACTACCATGTTCACAAGACCTGAGACTGAACCTTATCCTGAGTTAAATGAATCCTAGCCACTGTTACATCATATTTCTTTAAGATTCAATTTAATATTAACCTCCCAACTATATGTGATTTTCTAAAGCGGTATCTCCCTTCATATTTTCTGAATATCACAAATTATAAAGCTCCTCATATGCCATTTTTTTCAGCCTTCTGTTACTTCCTCCCTTTTATTTATTAATATTCTCCTCAAGCCTTTNAGTTAAAGAACATAATTTCATCTATAGTTTCATTTCTCCATGGACCTTACAATGATCACAACATAATGGATAACCCTCATAATCAACACTGCTTCAACTTCTCACAACTGCGGCAACATAATCAAGCGCAGGTAGATGATGCACATCAAAAAGGTTAAAAATCTATAATACATATTTACATTATTACTAGCATGAAATGTGACATACAATATAGTATACCATATGCATATTCTCTTCCAATCTTGTACTCTCAAAACTTATATTAGATCAACAGAACTGTCACAGGTATATTTTACTTTCAACAATATCCAATATTATTTACACGATTTTTGAAAATAGGAATACCGACAAATATACAACATGACTATCTTCATGTTAGGAGATATAAAGTAACAACAATAAAAAAATGAACCTACAGTCTATACAATTCTTATTGTTAAGACATAAAATTGAACACTGTACACGTCAAACAACAGGTGTTCATAGTGAGGGAACTCACATAGATACGGTTGGCAGTAACAGGAACATGGTTCAAATACTGCCATGATGTTGACAATACATGATAATCGTCATATGACTTGATTATGTCATTCACACAAACTATCACTCATACATTACACACACACTTATGACTACACATACACATGATACGCAATGCGCTGCACATCCTTCGCATAAGGAATCATCAAACTGTGTGTACACAAACACTACATCATCTATTATTGTCTAACCTCTCAACATCATTGCAACATAACAACTGTTAGTTGAAGAAGGGACAGAAAACTGTCAAAAGATTATGATGTAAATATCTAAAAAAGAAAGAAAGGAAAAAGACATTCCTTCATTAATTATGTAACATCCTTGCACTAACTCCCATTGCAATGGGGTGTATTTTCTGCCGGAGGGGATGAACTCATAGCTCTTAAAAACGATGGTTACGGCCCTGCCATACGCAGTGGATGAACAATGCTAGCCCAGAAGCAGCATTTCTCTTGTTCCTTTCTTTAGTTACAATTTAAACTGGAGTACTCTCAATGTGTTTATCTCTGCAGCTCAACACCCAGACCAACCCCTACACTAAGCCCATTGCTTTGCTGGCCAGGTTGACACTGCAGTCCCATGGGATGTTGTGGCTGTGGCTGCTGCTGCTGCTGTGTGTTCTGGTTGGGTGATGTGGAGAACACTCCTCATGGAACAGAGGGAAAAACAGTCATTATGGCTGACACACCTGTAAGACTGCTCTATTTTCATACTGCCTTGTGTTTTAAAACACATCCTACAGTAACAGGAAGTAAACTGCCACTATACCAAAGCACACCACCATAGAATACAGGGAGAGCAGAGGTTAAGCATCATACATGCTTCACTTTATTTCTAGATGGAGATATAATCAGCTGCACACTTTGGCCACTTTCCCCCTGGAGAAAGAGCTCCATATACAACTGGATAAGAGACAGGGTGGACATCATAGCAAAGTATGGGAAAGGGCCCCTGTCTGGCTGGGAATCAAATTCCAGTCATCCTGCCTGAGCCAGTCAAATTACTGACTGAGCCATCACACCACAAATTCAGTTAGAGTTATGTAACTTGTATCATTAGTGCTTCCTGGTTCTCTAGTGTGGTACCAAAGACCCTTACATACATACCATTTATGATCAATCACCTTTACATTATGTCTTTATCTCAAACAGCATTTTATGATAACCTAAAATCTAACAGTTACGACTCAGGCTCCTACAAATTAATTTTCTATCCTTATTTACTACATTACAGTGAATGTTTATTATAAAATCCTGGAAAAGTAACACATGATCAAATTCTGATGGATACAAAATGGTTCATAATGAAATGACAATTTAAGTCAAAATATGTTAAACATACAGAATAAATTATGCAGTACACATAACATGGACAATATTGAAAGTCGCAGGGTGTAAATATGGGCTCAGAAAGACATCACTCATAAACTTCCAACAGATCGTGAGTTGTGTGGGCCACCAAAGAATGGGTGAAAAGTAATACTTTTATTTTTTGGATCTAAAATTGATGGTGGTTTCTGGTGTTAGTGTTTATTCATTTATATCCATGTGTGTTCCCATTCATACATTTCAAGACAACAGAATTTCACAAAAATTAATACAAACATCATTCTCTACTGACCACTTCGCCTTTGTACTTCTTAATTCCTGCTGTCAATAATACCAATACAGTGGCCTCTGGGATTTATGGCACTAGACTGACACCAATGTCACTCAATGCAAGGTTCCAAACATTTTGTTATGTAGATTATATTTAAGCATCCTGTTACATTCCACACTTCTATACTACACTATATAACTACTATAAAAACTTCTATATGTATAATACAAGCTCCATTGTAAATGCAACACTTCATTGTAGTTCTTGTCCCCCTTCTTTCACACTACATATTTTGACCGCAACCGCCCATCATCAGGTGTATTTCACTTCACGTAGCTGTCACACTGCACTCAAATGTTAATATTGACAAGAACTACAATAAAGTGTTGCACTTATGACGGAGTTTATACTATACATATAGAAGTTGTTACAGTAGTTACTTTAAAATGGGGCACGCAGTAGCACAGTTGGTTGAGGCACTATGCTACAGGCTGGAAGGTAGTGGGTTTGAGTCCCAATGAGGTGGATTTTCTTTTTCCCAATTTATCTAATTCTTCCAGCTGCATTATGGCCCTGGGGTTGACTATGCCTCTAACAGAAATGAGTACCAGGAATCTTACTGGGGGTAAAGGGTGGGTGGCGCGTAAGGCTGACAACCTTAATGCCATCTGTGAGCTGACTGTCTACATAAAATGTGAGAGCCTTGACGTTTCACAACCCTATGGGCCTTCACAGCCTGTTATAGGAATAGCTACACCTTTACCTTTACCTTAGTTCTTTTAAAAAGTAAGCACCTTTTGGTTAACCCTTTAACACATACTGATTACATACTATACTATTATCATATTTCATATGAGGGTTGGAATTTTAATAGTGGCAACTATGTGTATTTATTTACAACTGATACAAATAGATGCATGTTTCAAAGTTTTATTGTCCTTCAGTGTAGTCACCAGCATTGTGTACAAACCATTGCCAGGGATGTGGAGGTCACAGGATACCTTTAGCAGTGCCTGTTGTGGTGATGGTTCAAATGGAGCAGTCTACTGCCTCAAGAATCTCTGGAACAGTTCTGAAGTGAATGCCACGAAATGGTTCCTTCATCTTAGGAATCAAGTCAAAGTCAGCCGCATCTTGTGCTGCATGTGGCCGAGCACTGTCCTGCAAAATGATGGGGGGGGGGTTCTGCAGAAAGTGTCGCCGCTTCTTTCTCAAAGCTGGTCGCAGGTTGTGTTCCAAAAATGAACAGTAATACTGCGCACTGACGGTCTGCTGTCGGGGAACAGTATGCATTAGGATAGCACCATCACAGTTGTACACAAGAATCACCGTAACTTTCACCTTGCTGGGGTTCTGACTAACTTTTGATTTTCGTGCTGACCTGTAATGACGCCATTCATTCGATTGGCGTTTCATTTGTGGCTCGTACGATTTGGCCCATGTCTCATCCAGTATAATAATAAGGCACAAGAAAGCCTATCCTTCACGCTCATAGCGCTCCAAGTGGTTACAAGCAGCGTCGTATTGTAGCCATTTCTGCATTTCTGTCAAATTATGCGGAACCCATTATGATGCAATTTTTCTCATGCCCAGGCATTCCTTCAGAATGTGAAGCACAGTTGTATGCGCTAATCCTGTCTCTCGGGCCAGCTCAGGAATCGTATGGTGTTAATCACTCTCCAGTAACATGGAAAGAGCATATACTTCTTCTTCACTGACACTAGGACGACGTGGCTGACACATGGCTGCATTTTGGCATCCCTCGTTGAAGGCTTTTAGCCACCTTGCCACTATTCTGTAAGGCAATGCAGATTTCCCGCAAGCCTCTTGAACATGATATGTATTCATGCTAACCGTCTTACAGTGCACATAATTTCACCTTTCTCTTCACTATTACACTACATGTTTCAGCACTAATGTGCCATCTTCAGGTGTGTCTCTATTCACGTCAAACTACTGCACTGCATGGCATGACGTCTTCATTCTAAAATGATTAAAATGTGTATTCGTCATGTATAACAATAAATTCTAAATGTTAAAACCTTTCAGGATTCGTCATCCATATGTCATATCTCAAATACGCGAACCACGCCAATCCTCCTCTACAGGAGCACTCTTCCTACATTCATGTGTGTACCTGCAACGTGAAATTATTATTAATACCACATTCTGACTTTTATCTGTTACATGTGGTTTTATAATGTTTAATACTCACTGCTCTGTGTTGTGTCTTGCTCCTGTGACTGCGTGCATTGTACTGCTGGATATGTGTGTGTGTGTGTGTGTGCGCGCGCTGTCTTCATTTTGACTGAGTTATGATGTTGTGGGGGTAGATGTAGTGGAGGTAGGTGGTGGGGTGTTATGTTGTTCTGTGTAAACAGTGTGTAAACTAACTACAAATAACAGAAAACAAAACATTGCAAAAAAGCAGAACATTACAGAGAATTCAGAAGGACAAAAAACAAAAACAAAAATGGGCAACATTCACATATATAGGAAAAGAAACAAGAAATATAACAAAAATATTTTGAGACACAAAATTAAAAATAGCATTTAGAACTAAGAACAATTTACAACATATATTAAAATCATGACCACGAATAAATAAATATAACAATAGTGGCATATATAGTATGAAATGCCTAGATTGCCCAATGGAATATATACGACAAACTGGGAGGAAATTTAATACCAGATATAAAGAACACATACATGACATAAGACACAATAACAGCAATACAGGATACTCAGAACACATATTAAACACAGGACATGCATATGGTACACTATACTATGGATATCATAGCAACAAATAAGAAAGGGCAATACTTAAACACATTGGAAAACTATCATATATACAGAACAACATAGAAAAACACGCATATGAACAATATAAATAAAGAAATATATAACCCAATATTTCACGAATTACACGCTATTTACACAGAACAACATAATAACACCCCACCACCTACCCCCACAACATCACAACTCAATCAAAATGAAGACAGCACACACACACATATCCAGCAGTACAATGCATGCAGTCACAGGAGCAAGACACAACACAGAGCAGTGAGTATTAAACATTATAAAACCACATGTAACAGATAAAAGTCAGAATGTGGTATTAATAATAATTTCACGTTGCAGGTACACACATGAATGTAGGAAGAGTGCTCCTGTAGAGGAGGATTGGCATGGTTCGCATATTTGAGATACAACATATGGATGACGAATCCTGAAAGGTTTTAACATTTAGAATTTGTTATACGTGATGAATACACATTTTAGTCATTTTAGAATGAAGACGTCACGGCATGCAGTGCAGTAGTTTGATGTGGATAGAGATACACCTGAAGATGGCACATTAGTGCTGAAACATGTAGTGTAAAATTGAAGAGAAAGGTGAAATTGTGTGCACTGTAAGACGGTTAGCATGAATACACATCATGGACATGAATCAGTGCAACAGGACACTAAAATATAACATTATTAATAGTAGCCTCTTGAAGACCTTGATAACACTTGTGCTGTACGGCCTCTGGCACATTCAATCTTTATCCAACTCCGTTGTTCCTGTTTCGAAAACATCGTGACAACACTACATTAGACCGCCAGCTAACACGAGACTCTGTTCTTCTCGTCACTGAGCATGCGTATGATGTGGGAAGGGAGAGTCCATTTGCTCTGAGGTAGGTAGGTATGTAACTAACGTGTGGTATGAGCGACATTTGGTTCCGTTGCATGGCGTCTCTACAGCAGTGTTGCCACTATTAAAGTTCCAACCCTCATATTAAGAAGACTCAACATTTTGCTCGCACTGTGCATATGCATGTTTCACATGATACAATAAACAATTATTATTTCCCTAAACATCACTAACCTTTTTTTTAAATTAAGGTACAGTGTGTTTCGATTAAGATGGAACTCAACTTTTAAATAATATTTAGATTAATTTCAAGCTCCAAAGAGTAAAGAAAATTATTCTTTTTGTAGACTGCAATATATGTCAGCTACAATCTATATGTATCTTTCTGTATTTTACTCATATGGTGACATGTTATGAACCAGTGCAGCTGGGCATGTGAAATCTAGTATGAAGACAGATCATAAACACACTTATATCTTCTGTAAAAATAGTTATTTTTTAATTAACAACTACATGAATGGCAATGGTGCAAATTTTTGAAATTACATCAGTTGGAAGCAGTACTTGTGGAAAATGTACACAAAATGATAACTACATTGCTTGTTTATTAAAATGTGGTTATTATTAACCACACCACATGGACTGCATCATCTGAATGGTAACAGACATCATTGCATTCTTCCTACAACTTCCTGGTTAGTATAAAGACACTTAACACTAAAGAGTAAACTAATTCCTCCTGAAGTCATAGCACAACTACAGTGAAGTCACCTGATGGTGAAGAACTGAGTTTTTCTCCACCTGTTGACATCCTTGAAAAAGCCAAGAGTGCATCAGGAAAGTTTGGTGGTGTAGCTGGTGTATTACATGGTGTGCATACCTGGCAACATAAAACAAAATGTTGTATGCATACATTTTATCCACATATATCCGCAAACTAGTCTAACACAATTCCAAAAAGGAATATGTTACATGGGGGTAAAGATCTTTAATCATTTGCCACCAAAAATCAAATCTATGTCTAATGACTTGAAAAATTTTAAAATTCAGTTGACAACATTTTTATTGCAAAACTCTTTTTATACTGCATAATTTTATGTATAGTGATGTAAGACTGTAAATTTAACACACGTTTCTTTTTATACAGGTGATGAATTCTTTAGTAACAAATTTGCCTAGAAATAAAGATAATAGCATAAACAATTTTAATATTGCATAATTTTATGTATAGTGATGTAAGACTGTAAATTTAACACACGTTTCTTTTTATACAGGTGATGAATTCTTTAGTAACAAATTTGCCTAGAAATAAAGATAACAGCATAAACAATTTTAATATTGCATAATTTTAGGTATAGTGATCTAAGACTGTTTTTTATATAAATTTAACACATGTTTTTTTTAATCTATTTTAATGATTATAAACTGTACATATATATTTATATTTGTATTGTACTATATTAACTATGTGACTGGTTCTATATCTATGTATTTGGATTTATGGAATATACAATGAATGAATGAACGAATGAATGAATGAATGAATGAATAAATATTAGTTTCCCAGGCTGTAGAAAGCAGTCACACAACAGATGCTCTTTCTGTGCTGTCAAGTACTGTTTCAATGGCCAATATATTGCATAGATGTATTTTAATTTGGAATAAACAAAGACTCCAAATGTGTTCTTTATAATGTTACACCCCCATACATAGTTCTGATGTTCACTTACAGCACACATTATGAAATTTTAACAGCTAATGAACAGCACAGACATTACACTAAGGTATAAATTACTTTACCTTTCAACTCTTTAAATTTACGTCATACAAAATACTGTTTCACACACAAGCACAGATTTAAATGAGATACATAGTCTTTATGATGTGCTCCTTTTTAAGCATGTTCTTTTATGCCTATCAATCAGAACATAACTGCGCCCAATTCACAACACTAATCTTGATGAAATTTAGTTACAACAGATATAAACTAATTCTGTAAAGTCAGTTGGTGTTGGTTTCATTTGGTTAGGGTCATTTTATCTAAGGACCTAAATGAACTGCTGCACAGATTTTCATGAAGCTTCATATGTGAATCTTTTATTATTTCAGCATTATGTATTATTTTATTTCATTTTACAGCCTACGTTAGTTAAGGCCCTAGCTACATTTCTGAGCATCCTTACATCAGTGAGAAAAATGTGCAAACTGAAAGTTGCTGAAATTCACATGTTCTCACTTATAAATTCTTTACAAAAATCTTGCAAGATTTGTAGAAAATAACTTGCAAAATAATGTAATGTGGATGGCCAGAGCATTGCTAGGTAACAGATCGGTAAACACTCCACAACCAAATATACACAAGGTATCAATAGAAGAATCACCGTTTCTGTTCCATGACATGTAAACAACCTTCAGTTGCATGCATTACAACAATAGGAGTCAAGACTGAAAGATGTTTTCTATGTGGTCCCTGTGAAGCTTATATAACGAGCATCTGTTATAGCTTAGACGAGACTGAGAGACTAGTGCAGTGCTTATAAGAGAAGTGAATGCAGTTGTCTTGGGTTCTTGGTAGGAGATAGCGATGGAACGTTCGTCTTAGAACAAGAATAAGAAGTCAGCCTGTGAAGACTTGGTGTGTGATTAGAAGATTTAGTCACAGCGAGACTGCTTCAATTCCATTACCAGGAGATGACTAGTGAAGGCTGAGGTTCCCAGTGTGTGTGTGTGTGTGTGTGTTATGGTGAACTGTTATTCATAGAAATTAACATTAGTGCTGTACCTAAATATAATTAAAAGAGCATGTAACCAGGGTGCTAATAAATCTAATCTTCCAAACTACATATAGGTAGAACCCACAATTATTTCATCACACATACCACCCTACACAAGACAGTAATAGAGGAAAACTGGGTAATATGAAATGGGCAGGCAATAAGGAATAACCTGATATATCCTCTGTTTTTGTGGCACAGAGCAGTGGACAGTGTCGAAACTATCAAAAGATAATACAATATTGTGGCATACAGACCCACTGGTAAGAGGTGACTCAGTAAACGACCATTTCTGGGCAACAACTCAGTAAACATGCTCCTGCGCCAATGAATACACATGCAATAATAGAGTTACTGTTGGAAACAGGGTGTTTCCATGTGGTCCATGCCGAGATGTTATAAGCAAGGGACAAAGTCAGTTGTTAGGAGAGTTGTGAGAACCTGTGTCATAAGAGGGAACAAAAAGGGAAGTCTCAAATCTGGGACAGTAAAACGTGGTCTTGAGTCCCAAGGGACTTGGGCCCGAGAAAGACTATGCTGGCAAGGGTCAGCAATGTATACAAAAGACAGATCCACCCTCTTGTTAGAGAAGCTGCCCCCCCCTCCCAAAAAAATACCATACTGTAACTGTCAAACAGATAAATATCTGGTTGTGAGCCCCATCTCTTACCGAACAACCGACTGTTAGTTGCAATGTAACTTGACAGACAGATAGAAAGATCGATAGAGAGATTACTTTGATGTTATATTTTAGCGTCCTGTTGCACTGATTTAAGTCCATGATTTATTTCAACCGTCTTCCAGTGCATACACTCATCTATCTCCTCCTCTCACTCGCACTACATGTTTCGGCACAAAAGTGCCATCTTCAGGTGCTTATTCAATTTACGCTAAACTAGTTCATTGCATGCCTTGTGTTCATATTAAAATAACTAAAATATATATTTATCATATATATTGATAAATGTTAAATGTTAAAAATATTAAAATTGTTCAGGAATTTTTTTTTCTTCCCTACGTCGTATCTCACTACGCGAGCCACATCACACAAAGCACAATAATACACGATAGTGAAAGAGTGCTCCAACAGAAGAGGATAGATGTGACCTGCGTAGTGAGATACGACATAGGGAAGAAAAAAAATTCCTGAACAATTTTAATATTTTTAACATTTAACATTTATCAATATATATGATAAATACATATTTTAGTTATTTTAATATGAAGACAAGGCATGCAATGAACTAGTTTAGCGTAAATTGAATAAGCACCTGAAGATGGCACTTTTGTGCCGAAACATGTAGTGCGAGTGAGAGGAGGAGATAGATGAGTGTATGCACTGGAAGACGGTTGAAATAAATCATGAGATTACTTTGACTTTGAGTTGTTAGGGAGTTCTGCACAGGAGGCTGTGAACAGAGGACATGGGTACATGAAGCTGAAGAATGTCCACTGTTAGAAGCAGTTGCCAGGGAATGGATGGTAAAGCCACAACAGGCTGGAAAATGCTCAGAGTTTGCTGTGGTAATTTGTGAATTGTGGAGATTAACTATGGCACTGTAACTGCTTGTAGTTCTGAGTCGTGTGTCTAACTGGTCAACAAATGCATTCACCAATCCAAATTCCATCTACAGTCACCCCTACATGTGACAATACTGTACCCACATGCATTCTGTCATCTGATGCTGGAGAAGTCATTTTGTTTGCTTTTGTATTGGTTTTGGTGGCTAATACAGAATATTACGACAGTTTACTATTTCATGCATCTTCGCTGTTAATAAGTTTACAAGAAATGAATATCAAGGCCAACAAGAGAAGAAAAATTACTAAAATGCATTTGGCGATTCTACACTCCAAAATGCAGTATATTTTTTCCAGACTTTCTTACACAGCCATGACTTGTTCTTCTGTGATTAAACAGGATCCACACCACATCACATATGACAATTACAGCAGTATGATCTGGTCACCAGACACCAGGCTCTCAGTTATTAAAACAATATATTGTATGAAGCTGACTATGACATGAAGGTGGGGGAGGTTTTTAATCCTCACACTGCTGCAGTCGACATATGTTGATCTCTGAAAAATATGGCATCCTTGCTGCAATCGACAAAACCCGTTTTGTGACTTTAGAATTTCAAATCTCAGGTTTCTTTGCACCAATCTCATTCAAACTTGGCGGGTGCATAGCGTCATCTATTGGGAACATAATGAAGCATCCTTCATTTTCATGGCTGCATTCTTCTGCCCTCTAGCTTAAGAAATGTAAAAGGTTGCATCTGCACAGCAAGGCATGTGCTCCATGGTCATGTGACAAGGGTATTTCACAGGGCTAGTAAAAATGGCTTTGTATAGTGTGCAGCGCTTTCTATAATAGTTTTAAATAAAGCTGTTGACTTTGGTCAACATGTGACATACGGATAAGACTATGATAGTGAATTATGTACTTTTTTGACCATCTTGGACAACCCTGATTTAAATAGACTTATACCCTGTGAAAAATACTGAATAATTCAACATTTTTGCAACTTCTGATGCCTGTTCCCTGTGTGAGGTAAGATTAGTTACATTTTATCACAGACTTTCATACTTTGCACTTAAATTATTTAGAAAAGATTTATTCAAAAATAATTCAGCAGAGGGTACTGAGAGTTACTTAACATACTAGCAGTGATAGGGTTAAAGACTTGCATTCTACCTACCTCTTACACCCTTGAATCAACATAAATCCTTAACATTCTCACCATTCTGTCAACAATTTAAAAATTCAGTTTGAATATAGAAGTCAGTTAACTGTAGAATCCTTGGTCTCTCTGAATAGACTAACACACTGAAGTTCCAATAAAACAAGCATCCTTGGCATCAGGTCTCTGATTTATTTCTATCTCCCTCCAGTACAAATATAATTCCCCAGTCCTAAACACACAAATGCTCCCTGTTAAAATTAGACCAACCAGCATACAGGAAGCTACAATACTGCACCAAAGTTATTCTCCTTCCAAAATTTCAAGGGCAACCTGCCCCATTTTGTGTTAATTTTGGAAATAACTAGGACATGTTCCAGAGTAAACTGCTATTCCTAACTCAAACATCAGAACCTCTG